ATTTTTATTTTTTCAGAACTATTCCTGCTTGTTTAGTCAAGCACTACACCTAACTCCCTAACTGAAATAAACAGGAGAAAACAGTGCAAGGAAAACAATAAGGCAGCTCACCCCTTCTGTTCCAGTGCTATTTACAAGGTGCTATTTACAATGAAAACTAATGTACACACTATATACAGAACTCAGAAAGTCGCACAAATGTCTCAGGTTTTAGAGGCCAGGGTCAGGTCTGCTGCTGCTGTCAGTGGCTGCCTGGGACAACTGCTGGTGATGGATTTTGAATGCGACCACATGATCAGCGGACCAATCGGCAGCCGTCAGCTCATCCAATCCGGGACCTGCAAAGACTTAAAGGCACAGACAAAGAAAACAACTACTAAAGCAGATTATGGCCAGGGCCATAACATCTGGTACATGTTGTTATTGCATGGCTTGTTTAAAGTATACATTAGGCTGACATCTGGGGCCAGAGCTGAAATTGTTCTGGGCCAGCAGTGTGTCTACAACTGGCCCGTGGCTGCACACCACCTACAGATGGCCCACATACCGCAAAGAATGACTGCCCTTTGGTGGCCCAGATTAGGTTTGCCAGAGGTAATCCACGCATGGGCCAGCACAGGACCACCAGTGTGTATGCAACTGGCCTTGTGCTGGCCCATGTGTGGGCAACCTTGGGCAAACCAGGTCTGGGCCACCAAAGGGCCGTCGTTCTTTGCGGTATGTTAGCCATATGTAAGCACATTGTGTGGGCCTGATCCGGGCCATACCAATTTTGCTATGTGGGTATGTGTATCAACTGAACACACACACGTCTAATAGCAGTCACCTTCAAAATAAAAGCAACAAAGTTGCACTGTGATTTCCCCAACCCACAAAACCCCCAGAAATCTCCGTTTTCAAAGACCTAAAATGGTGCTAATATGTGGGCAAGAGGCAAAAAGGCTATGTTTTCCAAAATACCTGTGTAGGTGCTGACCTGAAGCTATAATGTTAGCTTTTTGGCTTCTGCCATGTTGGTTTTTGAAGCAGATATTATATTATATGAACAAAAGAAAAGACTACTAATTTATTAGCTAATGCTAGCTAGATTCATAGCAAGCTATATTCATAAACTGTATGAGTGCAATGCAGCTAATCAGTGGTAACAAACAGAAAACACAAACACAAAAAAGTTACTCACCAAAACCGAAGTACGAACCACACAGCAAGCCATAACAGTAGCCAGTCTATTAAAGATAACACAAAAAGGATCCAGTTTAACAACTTGAGGTAGTGGATGAGGCCTAGCAGAAACTGTAGCTGCCCTTGTCAAGACAGCTATCAGCCACTGCAGACATGTACCTAGTTCAATTATCCAGTTAAGAAAGTCATTAAAAAAAATTACCTTAAAAAATTACCCTATTCATAGTTGTTATTAAGGGGGGAATTGTCCATAGACATTCATATTAATGTGTGTTAAGCTTTAAATATGCTTTTTAATGATGGTAAGTCGGACATTCTAACATGGGACTCTAACATGGGATAGCTGGTGAGACAGCTTTGACAGGTTTCGACAGCGAAACCTGGTTTCGACAAAGGATGTTGAAGATGGAGCTGCCAGGCCGGAGGATAAGAGCAAGACTTCAGAGAAGGTTAATGGATGTATTGAAGGAGGACATGGAGCAGGTTGGTATGACGGAGGAGGATACCAGCGATGAGGTGAGATGGAGGCAGATGATCCACTAATGCCAGCAGGTAGAAGAAGAAATAGAAGATTTATGCAAAGTAGAAAGCATTAGACTAATAAAATGCAATACCTTTTCAAAGTAAAATTATTTTTTTTTATAATGACTTTATTTCAGGTTTTATAGGAAGTTATTTGTTAGTTTTCCAGGCATGCATTGAGTAGGCTACTGTATGAAAACCCGTGGTTGTCATATAAGTGAAGTCCTGTTACTAAAAATAACATTTTCTTTGTATTCCAGGGGGTTTAATACGACTTCACTGTGTTAATAATAATCGGTTCAGCAGTTATTTCTAAGTGGGTCAGCCTAGGCTCGTTGGCCACAAGGACACTGCTTAATGGGAAATGAAATCCAAAAATATAAGTTACCTTACATAAAGCACAAAACAAATATGGCAGATCCACTTCATACCCAGGATTAGTGAGAGGACCGAAGCTCTTGAGGTTTAATTAGGTTGCGAGGTTCATTGGAGGTGAGGTTGGTGAGCAGGACACACAATAAAACTTCCTCCTCCCTCCTCCTCCTCCTCCTTCGGACTTTATAAACCAGAACACTCCATTCGCTCCTGCTTTGCGCCCCAGTGAGCATCACATTGGATTACACCGCGGAGGTCAGTGTGCCGAAGATGCAGGAAACAGAGATGATGCTGACCGTGTCGTTCATGAATACGCGACATTTTACATGTTAGAGATAATTTTGTAAAAACAAAACAACAACAAAAAGACAGACCATATTCTTGGATTTTTTTCTAATCGATTCTTTTTAACATTTCCGGTAATATCAATAATATTTTGGTTTACTGCTCCCGGACAGTGTGCCTCCGCTACCCTGTCATGTGCACCCTCCGTCCGGCGTGGCTGTGCGTGCTGCTCGGGCTCTTGCCTTTGGAGATCCAGTCCCAAGCACTGACTCCGCAGAGAACTCACAGACCCAGGTACCCGAACCCCGAAACTTTTAGGGGGATTTAAATATTTGTTTTTAAGTAAATTGTTAAATTCAGAATATCTTCTTAACTAATAACCTTAACGGAAAACAACTTTAATTTTGCTGCTTTACTTTGATGCACATTTTGTATTTTTCCTCTTTTCCCCCCATACAAGATAAAGTATAAAGCAATGTTAAAAGGTTTTGTGAGTAATTGTGAATAAATTTGCACCACATAACACCCTTTAAACTCTCTCTTTAGAAATAAAAAGCCTTTGTAAAAAGGTAACTTTGGCAAAACAATGACTACACATCACAGCATTTGAAGAAAAAAAAAGAAAGAAATAAAAACATAAAAGAGAAGAAAAGGGGTCTAGTGACAGAGTAAGGTAATTCCTCTCAGTAGCAGCAGGAGGTGAGACAGAGGTGAAGGTGATTTAGTGGGATTTGGGACAAGGATACATGCGCATACCGAGGGGCCAAGCAGCAAGCAAGCAGTCTGAATAAGACACCAGCAGCTTGTAGGTTCCTTAAGAACATGTTATGATGTGGCTGCTTCAAGGCCAGCAGCACGCCGTTTAAAATTACCGTCACATGCAAACCCACAGGTCGTTACTTTGTTTTCTGCTACCTTGGTAGATCTAATCAGAGAAAACTTCTTACGCTGTTTTGTGTGTGTGAGAAAGAAAGCGTAAGAGAGGGAGAGGGGTTATGCTCCCTGAGTCTAAGTTATATAAGAGGGATTTCTCCCCTTATTTGCAGCTTTTATAAAGCTTTAATCCCACATTAGTGTTAATACACCTTATCTATTGTTCGAGAGCTAAATTAGTGCAATAACAGTATAAGATAAAAAGGCATCAAGGCAATGCATTTCATACAATTATTTTTATTTTTATTTTTTCAGAACTATTCCTGCTTGTTTATTTGATTGTTTTTCCTCAACAACACCAATAAGAATTATCAATTTGATTAAGTTGTGTAGCATTATATACTAAACATCTCTGGCTAATGGGGGTGGGGGTTGTGGGGAACCCCATCTCAAACGTCTCAGTGTGATTCAGTGCTGTTGGATGTAACGTAATATTGCTGCTGGCTCTCAGCAAAGTGAGCCTAAAGAAATAAAAGAGGAGAGAAAGAAAAATGAAAGCATACTGCTGTAATTTAAAAAAGACAGAGCCAAAAGGAGGGAGGAGGTCGTGCTGTTAGTGAAGCTGTGGGCAACCCATAGGGACAAAAGGGTGTGTGTGTCTGTGTACACGTATGTGTCTGCATGTGTGTTCAGTCTCTCTGTGAACAGCCCCATGCTGAGCTCTAACTGGGGAAGAATGTTGGAGACGCTCCTTTTGGTCTCTCAGATTCAGGTTCACATCCTGAATCACACATGAGAGGTGAGGGAATGGGGGTTGCAATAGAAAGAAAAACACAAAAAGGGGGTTCAGCTTATTACATACTGCTATCATGGAGTGTTAATTGCTGCCAGATATTATAGGCAACAATCATTTCTGTTTTCCTTCCTGTGAGTTATGACCAAATTTCATTTTAAAGCATCTCAGCTGCTCAAAAAATAATAACTTTTTTACAACTTTACAGTAAGTTTCATTGACGATAAGCAATCCGTCTCTGTTCTCCAGCTAGTACCGCGAATAAACAGACCAGGTGGGCAAAGAAAACTGTGACTGGGAAATGGATATCACTATCATCAGATCTTGTCAACTCATAATAAAGTCGTACTTTTAATGTAACTGGCTGTAACAAAGCCAGGGTGAGATGCTGTCTAAAGCTATCCCTTCTCACATGTAGCACACATCAGGCGATGTGAGGTGTGTTCTCACTTCTGAAGGAAGAAGGTGAGGTTGGTACCTAAGAAGGCAGGACACATGAGGTCCTCTCACTCTCTGTTACATATATCTAACTGCGTCTGACATTTTTGTGCTCGCATGCACCTCTGGTGGGCAGTTTCTCATCTACAAGAACTCAGGATGCAGTGAATTCATGTTCACAGCTATAAATCTACAGCCAGTGGAGACTAAGGATGCACTTCAAAGAATGCAAGATGGTTTTTCACTGCACTCTGACCCATCCACTTCTAAACAGAAAAGAAAGAGTGGTATTTATGCAAATGTCTGAATGAGGCAAGGGAATGTGCTATGAAGACGATGAAACATGGAAAGCTGATTTGTCCAGATGGCAGACCTGTGGAGGTATCTCCATACCTCCACAGGTCTGGAGTCTAGGAGAGAAAACAGGAGAGTTTGTTTATTTTTGCCAGATTGTTTAACATAATCTTGAAAAACGAGAAGATGGAGAAGTTGTGTACTGAATTTCAAGAACAAGGGTGATGTTCAGAGCTATAATAACTACAGAGCCACTCACAAAGATATGAGAAAGAGCTGTTGAAGCTTGACCGAAGCTAGTAATGATTAATGAGCAGCAGTACAGCTGAAAAGGAGCAATACGGAGAAGGTCAGGAGGAGTTGCACTGTGTCCTTGTAGGTCTATAGAAAGCATGCGGAAGGGTGCCAACAGAGGAACTGTGGTACTGCATGAGGAATTTAGGAGTGACAGAGAAGTGTGTGAGAGTGTTGCAGGACATGCATGAGGACAACGAGACAGAGGTGAGGTGCGCAGTGGGAGTTCAAGGTGGGGTTGAGCCCCGTCTATTTTGCAAAGGTGATGGAGAGGCTGACAGAGGAGGTCAGGCAGGAGTCTCCGTGGACTAGGATGTTCACACATGGCATTGTGATCCATAGTGAGAGTATGGAGCTGGTGGAAAAGAGTCTAGAGTGATGTAGGTATGCTCTGGAGAGAAGAGGGAGGAAAGCCAGAGGAAGCAAGACAGAACATTTGTGTGCATGTAAAGGAGACAGGTGGAAAGGTGAAGAAGAACACCCATCCCCGTATCTTGTAGTACAGTGGATAAGCAAAACCTTTTCACCACAATGAAAATGCAGACACTAAAAATTACTGGAAGTAAAATAAAAAATAGGCATATGTGTTTACTGTATTGGTTCTTTGCTGTATATTAGCTTACCTGTATTAGATGTGTTAGAAACTAGCAAGTAGCTCAGTGGCCCAGATTTCTTGTTACTGGGAGGCAGTTTGGTGCCAAGTGCCTTTCCCTTCAGTGGCAGTTGATTTTAAACCTCACCACAGGGGGCCATTTAACCATGTATGTGTGTGAGTAAATGCACAAATGTGTGTTTTTTTGTGCAGAAAGAAAAAGAGACAGGCAACTACAGATGTCAGCACACGCATGTAAAGATGAATAAAGCCAAGAGTTTTCTTACGCTGTGTACCGCATGAATGCAAAAGTCTGCGTCTCAGTTTGACAGTCACGTGTCACAGTCACGTGTTTTGACTAATTCTCCACCATGCAACATTATGCCAGTGTGTGTGTGTCTAAGTGTGCACGCTTCATTCACCATCCATTAAAACCAGTTCAGTTCACCTAGCTTAAAGTCAATGGTATAACACACAATGAATGTGTGTTCTCGTGTGTGTTGGCAGTGAGAGCTAAAGGTGTCCAGCCAGAAGAGTGATCAGAATACCAGTCAGGATTAGTTACAGGATAAAATGGTAATCTGGCCCACTTTTCACAACAAACAAACAAACATTATCTTACTTCATCCATCCCTCTGCCTTTATTCTTTGTTCCTTACATACTGAATATACAATATCATTTTTTGCAGTACAGAATTATAAGTCATGCGTAAGGCAGTGTTGTGTTTGACAAAACTATAAAAGTATTAAAGAGAATTAGGGACGATGAGGGTTTGCAGTCATTTGACTTAACCACTTGCTCCTGTCAGCAGTATAAAAGGGCTGGAATAAACAGACAATTGCTTTATTGCAAACCTTTAATTTACCTGTGCAGTATTATGTCATCGCTGGTTGCTTACATGACAAAACATGCCCCCTCTTTGCACTTGAACTCTTGAGCATCTGGGAGAAAGTGGGAATTATTTTTTTCTTTTTTAAATAGAAAAGGTATTGTGATGATGTGAGGGGGAAAAAACGTGTGCAGACAGCAGGAGATTGAGAAATAAAGTACTTAAAACCCACTCAAGGGGAGTGGAGGAGGTGTAGGAGCCCCTCACCACCAATCTACATTGTGCTTTGTCACTTCCCGGAACTGTTGTGAGATTTGCCGACTTGCATACTGTTATTGATTAACCATGTCTTTTTTTTTTTTTTTGACTGAGCGGATGTCAGTGTCTTGGTTCTCGACTCTGTTGGTTTAAACCACTTTGGTCCGGTTGGGAGCTGGAAACAGAGCAGCCTTTAGATGTCGCTAGCAGAAATTTCAGACCGACTGGTTGCATTCTTTTTTAATTATTGACTAAAATGAACTTATCACCCTTTTAACTGTGTTTTGAAGATTAATGGGGGAAAGCAGTGCTTTAATGTTTAAGCAATGCACATAGACGGTTAGATAGCTACAGGCAGAACTACTACCTGTGCACCACTCTGTCTTTCTTTATCATCTCTTCTCAAAAATGAGACCTCAGACTGAGCACAGCAGACATTCCTGCAGTGCAACCGTGAATCCTGTAAGGCGTTTATCCAGTTTCACTGTGAAACTCAAGCAGGTGACATGCATGACTGCCAATCATCACATATGAACAGGAAGTGGCTCAGGTATTGCTAATGTTGCGCGTTTACACAGTCACCCTTTCATATCCACACAATTGTTCAATTTTAAATTTCTGCGTTAGGCTGGGATGAGGTTAATTGAAGTTATACTAAAGGATTCACTAAGTCTTCAGGAAATGAATCTGCACCAACGTAATGTACCCTAAAGTCATGGGGGCTCCATAGTAGAGTCAGAGATCCTTAGTTTGATCCTGAGAGGCGACATATATCCCTTTGGGGTTGCATCAATAAGGGAACCTGCCAAGTCAAACATGCAACAAACCCACTGTGACAACCCTTTGTGAATAAGGCAGCAGCTGAAAGTAGTATTATTACCCTAAAGTCACGTTTATATGACGTATGTGAATGTGATTCCCTGGAAATATTTTCTGTCTTTCTGTCTGTTTTTCTCAGGCTGAGTTTTCCCAGAACCTCTAAATTCCCAAAGTCCTTTCACCCCAGCATCGTGCCGACTGTGTCTGATCTCTCTGTCGCTGCTCACAACCAAATTACAGAGGAAGACGGACAGATCATCTGGAGGGCCTTGCTCCCACACAAAGATCCCCCGCCAAAGCCCTTTGACCTGTTGGTCGACCAAAGCCACAACGTGCTACCGGAGGTGCCAGTCTGGCGGCGCGGGTCACGGGGTCGTCGCCATGCTGGTAGAGGCAGGGGCCACCCCCACCTGATGAGGGTGGGGTGCGTCCTAGGCACCTGTCAGGTTCAGAACCTCAGCCACCGTCTATACCAGCTGATTGGACAGAGTGGGAGGGAAGACTCCTCCCCAATTAACCCCCGCAGTCCTCACAGCTATGGATAAGGCCACACCCACTCACCCACACTCAAGACAACTTCATCAACACCTGCTGGCAAATTACCCAGGTCCACTGTTACACTAACTATATGTTCAGGCTCAAAAATATCGCTACTGCTGTCATTCCTTAACAGAGCAGTTGTGGGGTTTTTTACAGCTTGGGTCTTATTTTTATAGTTTTGACTAAAACTCTCATCAGTAATAAGAACACGGTACTCACAGAGTAAACTGTTGAACGCTTTGAATGAGGCAACATCATGAAAAGACAACAGCAAAGACTAAGAGGCCATTTGGAAAGGTCAGAGTCCCTTGACTGGAAACAGCAAACTGCTTTTTTTTTATGTCAGAGTGCTTTGGTCACTCAGGAGTCTTTCCCAAGACAACTTCCTGCTTCAACTCATTATCACCAATTTGAGATTAAATCTATCAATTATTCTGATGAGTACAGTGCTATTGTAAGCTACAGATAGGATTGTTAAATCTGTAAAAATAACACTTTTTAAAGATTATTACCTGTAGTGTGGGCTACAGCATTATACCGAGCTAAAACTAGAGTCCTATATGTTTTGGCATTTACAGCACGACTATCTTTGTAACCAGACAAGCCTCTCTCAGCCAATCCCTACCTGACTAATGTCTGCTGATGAATGGTTATCCTCCTCCTCTTAACTTACCTGAGCTCAGTGTTAATCCACAATGTGTCTTGAAAGCACATTTATCCCTCTCTGCTTCAGTGCAGACAGAACCCGAGAATAACCCCCAATCAAACCCAATTAACCCTTCACCCAAAAACCCACAGTGCATATGATCAGCCAAAATAACCACTAACCCTAATCCGTAATCTGTCTGTGCACTTAACAGACACCGTAGCAGGTCTCGACTCTATTAAACCAGAGGGAGGACAGCCGCACTCCATATTCTCTGCATCAGTTTGAGCCTTAATTGATCATTTATAAGGCCTTACAGTGTTTTGCCTTTCACCAGCGCAGATTAAGCATGCCATTGAATTTAGACCATCATTTTTTAAGCTTTATAGTTTGTTTTATTCTTTTCTCTCTGTGTGCACGTCAGCTCATTATAACTCCCGTTTTGGTAGTTCACACAGGCTATTATTAGGAATGCATGAAAGCACTTTATTATCCTTTACATTCAATATGACTTGAATTTTAAAGGTGTGTTATTTAACTTTAAATGAATGGGTCAGTTTTGCTGTAAATATCACACTTTAGTAAATCTTTGTTTTCATATACACTCCATTCAAAGACACAAGTGTCCTTTTGGAAACCATTGTGCTGTTTTCTTCTAACACTGATGTTAAATAAAACCTTTATAGTTATTTCACCTGTCAACAGCAAATCGAGGCGTCAGTGTGAAGTTTTTTGTGAACATTTCATGCTGTATTATACTGACAATATTTTACAAATGAAGTAAAGTTACAAACTTTTTTTTCATTTTACCCTTTTCATATCCATGTTGCCTCCTTTATTCTTTCACTATGAAACACTTTTTTGTCCATTACTAAAAGGTAAGTGTGACTTACATTCACGTTTCATTTCCTGTACATGCACAGAACAAAGCAGGTAGAGTTCAAATGTTCAGAAAAAACACACATTGTAAGTCACGTTCATAAACAAAGAGCAGAGGCAGGGGCTAATGAGGCTACCAGACTTGACCCAGCTCCTTCTACAGCCACAAATAGCTTTAGATATAAAACATATTTTACACAAGTATAATAAACCCCACGGTTTGCAACATTTACATCAGATGTGCAAATTCTGTAAATTCTCCCAGTTTAAAAAAAAATAAGAATAAAAATGTGATGCCATGCTTGATCGCATGCAGGCTGTTGTTTCTCAACAGTTTTGGGAGGCATTTAATGTGGCCAATTAGATTTAAGAGTGGGCCAAGCCTCTACCACCCCCAGATACACCCCTTAAACGCAAATCAGAACTAGAAATATTTAAGCTTTTCTGAGAAGTTATCTTGTTTGTGTCCAAAAAATTATGCCCAAAAATGTTTTTTTATGCCGTACAGTATTATTAACACATAAAACAAAATGTAAAGATCTGTTGTACTCCGTGTCCTCTCCGAGGGAATGTAAAGGTTGCAAATCAAAATTCAAATCCAAATATCTCATCACAGCAAAGCGGAAAAATATGAAGGTTTTCCTGTCGTCTGTTCAATCTTTACCTTGTGACCTGGTAAAGAGGCAGGCATTTGGTTTATGTAACAGACAGCAATCAATAAAAAAAATAGAAGTCACGAAGTAACGCTTGTTTGGACATCTTTGTCAACTTTACCTCTGTTAATCTGCGTTTGAACCAGCTGATACTTGAAAGACAGGACCGTTGATACTGAAAAATCCCAAGTCAGAGCCTGCCTTCATGAGGACCAGTACCCATAGATTACAAGAAAGCAGAATTGTTTTGCTATTTAAATAGTTTGTGATATAGTTTGCAGACATGTAAATATGACAAATCTACTGCATGTAATGCATACATAGTATTAAAAACAGATCTACATATGTGTAAAAACTTTTTCCCCCCGATAATTATAAAAAAAATAAAAACAACTTAACTGTGAAAAGAAGTACTGAGTCATTCTACATAAGCCCAAACATGCAATCTGCTGATCACTGAAAAGCTCTTCCTGGAACGGACAGACACTCTGACATACAAAAACACACAAACAAGGCCAACGTGCAACACAGGGTACCCCGTTACATAAAATTTGGTTAAAGTGTGACAGGACATTGCTGTAAACCTAGCCCCCAGTGCACGTCAAAAAGGTTACAGTTTGAACCAGGAGGATATATATGGGCAGGCGGACAGTGACCACCAGAGCATCGACGCATCACAACCCATCACAACCCAACAGTAACTGTGATTTCACCTATCAGCCATGAGGATCATCAACATTGTAAGTGTAATTTTTGCCCATTCACACCATTCATTTGAAAGCAGAGTTGCTGCATAGCTTTGTAAAATCTGAAAATGTTCTTTTTACTGCTCAAAGGGTCCGGACCCGTCTCTGGCATATCGGCCAAATTTGGAGACAAGTAAGGCGAAAGACAAGGAAGACTACAGAAACTTTGAGGTAATTAAACAAACCAGCTTAATTCCACATTAATTTATGAGTTGAAGGAAAAAACTGAGGTTATAATTACAGGCAGACATAACTGGCTTTAAGTTAAAAAAAGAAAAGAAAAGCTGAGCTTCAGAGTGAGCCAAAACTTAAGCAAAATATCAAAATGTGCCTAACACTAACCCAAGGCTGACCACAAGGGGAGTTCAGGTTCTTATTTTCTACTCAATAGAGTCTGACTTCTGGCAAATTTCATCAGTTCTGTAACAGCAGATCATTCACTCAGTTCATTTAGTCATTCACTGAGTTTAAGCTTCCACAGTGGGGTCAACTGTAACTGTATGTCCTGTACATGTGGCAGAATTGACAATAAAGTTGACTTTGACTTTGACTTTGACTTTGAACTCACTGAAAGATAGTTGAGTTTTTATCAGCAGAGGCTGACACAGTTCTGCATATGTGCTCAGATTTTTAACTAATCAAACATTACAGTCTAATGCAGATTTTCCGAGAAGCTCATTGATTTGATGGTCTGATCTAACTAAACAACCATGTAACCCAGTGTTAAAAACGGGATTAAAAGTATAAATATTCATACTCTCACAATGGGAATAAATAAATTTTATCAAACAAAGTTTGATAAAAACAAAGTTAATTATAATAAATGCTGATAAAAAGCATGTAAACATAAGTTTAATTAATATGTAAATATGTATATGTAATATATAAATGGTGTGGGGGCAGAACTTAGTCCTTTAGAGTGTGTTTGTTAGATCCACTGAGCGACCAATCATTGGCCGGTGTTGTGCCAAAAACTGATTGCTTGTATTTAAACTGCTATAAATAACTTGTTGATCAACAATATGTGAAACATATGTCAAATATATCCCTCGTGAATTATATCAAGTCATCTTAACCAACAAACAACATTCCTGTAACAAGGTAGAAGCCGCAATCACTTTTTGGCAGTGACTTTTATGTATCCTTTATTTATGCAGTTAAAAAAATTATTGTTTATTGTAAGTGGACAAAAGGAAGCTGATTGATTACAGTTAAGTACAATAACACAGCTACAAAGATAATTGAGAAACAGGTAATTTTTTAAAATTTTGTATATAACCCCTTTGCAATACCTGTTCACCGAAGTCTATTTAGCAACATACGTAACGATATTACACATAAAAAAAAACCACACGGAAACATTGGAAATCAGTTTTTGCTTTTGAGAATCTGTTGGTGTTGGTCTGTGTTTTCAGAGCGGAAACCTAATTGACCGTGTCTTCAACACGTACAGCCTGATGCACACCTATCAAACAGTGGAGTTTGTAAACCAAAAGGTGAGAAAATTAGAAGGAAAAAAAAAAACAGTGAGTAAAATTTTGATCACAACCTGGTACAAAGAGAACATTTTAAAAAACCTGGATATTAAAAATAAGGTCTGTCACTATGTGAAATGATCAGTTACAGATTCATGAATGGCAGCTTTTAGTCAATCACACTGGACTTGTGCGGCCTCTGGATTTGCCTCTGGATGAGCAAACTTGACTCAGACTGAGCAAACAAAAAAGAAAGAGGTCTGAATCACAGACCAGTCTCTGGCCTTAACATTGTTTACTTAACCTAATTCTCCTAACAAAGTTATACATTGAATATATTGTCATATATTTGACAACATGATGTACTTTTGCTTTATTATAAACGGCAGAATATTAGTGTTAACTGCTGAATAGCATCGTGTCTGTGAAGGTTCTCAGTCATCCAGGTCATCGTAGTCAAAGGAGCTTGCAAAGAAAAGCGTCTGGACTTCTTTAAGTTGCTTGAAGACGTTTCACCTCTCATCCAAGAAGCTTCTTCAGTTCTAAGGTCAAATGGTGGGGAGTCCCAGATTTAAACCTAGTGGGAGTATCCCCCCACAGAGGGACAAAAGGACCCCTTGATGATCCTCTAATCGCCTGAGCCAAGGTGTGGAACTGGGTGTGGGTCCCAATCAGCCAGAGTTTCAGGTGTGTTCATTGTGAAACCTGGCCCCACCTTATCATGCGAATTCCTGAGGTCAGATGGCCCAGGATGTGCGTGGTCGTTAAGGCGTCTGGGGAGGGAACTCAAAACTGGATTATAGATGGCAGACAGTTGGTGTCGTAAACCACCGCCTCTGTTCAAAGATGGTCGCTCACAGTGGACATAGATGGCTTCTTTCAAACCATCTGTCCTCTCTGTCCAAAATGTGAACATTGGCATCCTCGAAAGAGTGACCTTTATCCTTTAGATGCAGATGGACTGCTGAGTCTTGTCCTGTGGAGGTGGCTCTTCTGTGTTGTGCCATGCGCTTGTGAAGTGGCTGTTTGGTCTCTCCAATGTAGAGGTCTGGGCATTCCTCGCTGCACTGTACAGCATACACCACATTGTTAAGTTTGTGTTTTGGAGTTTTGTCTTTTGAGTGAACCAGTTTCTGTCTGAGTGTGTTGCTGGGTCTGAAATGCACCGGGATGTCATGCTTGGAGAAAACTCTCCTGAGTTTTTCTGATACACCGGCAACCTTTACATGCGTGTGTTCCTTCACACGCATGTGCAAGGAACACACGCATGTAAAGGAAGCACTCAAAACGTGCAGCTATCCTAAATGGGCGTTCTTAAAGTCAGCAAAGAGGCACAGAAAAGAAGATCAGACACCAGCGAGGGAGAATAAGAAGGAGAGACGCAACAACATTGTCATCCCCTATGTAGCCGGTGTATCAGAAAAACTCAGGAGTTTTCTCCAAGCATGACATCCCGGTGCATTTCAGACCCAGCAACATGCTGTGGGGAGACACTCCCACTAGGTTTAAATCTGGGACTCCCCACCATTTGACCTTAGAACTGAAGAAGCTTCTCGGATGAGAGGTGAAACGTCTTCAAGCAACTTAAAGAAGTCCAGACGCTTTTCTTTGCAAGCTCCTTTGACCGCTGAATAGCATCACTTCTATCTGTTCACCAGAGCATTTTTCACACACCGCTTGGAGTTATTTAACTGTCTAATATTGATGCAGCACACTGAATGGAACGGTTGTAACCACACCCGGATGGGGATGATGGATGCCATCATGTCTCTAGACCAGCTTGTGGATGAGTCTGATCCCGATGTGGACTTCCCCAACTCCTTCCACGCTTTCCAGACTGCTGAAGGCATCCGCCAAGAACACCCAGACAAAGGTAAAGTGCAGAGAGAGAATCAGAAATGCACCGAGACTGTGGAAAAGCTCATGCTATAGAGTAAATATCTTGTACTTACTGTACCTCTCAGAATGGTTCCAGCTGGTTGGTCTGATCCATGATGTCGGAAAGATCATGGCTCTCTGGGATGAACCGCAGGTGAGGGATAGGTCCAAGATAGGTAAAGCTGGCACAGCAGATTCATCATTCCCAAAGTTTTCAGAGCTGCTTTTCCTCAAACGGAAGTTTTAACACAGTTGTGTTCATTTAGTTTATTGCTCATTATTGTTATTATTACTATATGAATCCCATTTGTTTCATGTTTAATTTTAATAGGTTTCTAAGGTAACTGTCTGTGTCTCTGTGCCCTGTAGTGGGCTGTAGTGGGCGACACTTTCCCCGTTGGCTGCAAATTTCAAAACTCCATTGTGTTCAGAAACAACACCTTCCTGAAAAATCCAGATGACAATAATCCCAAATACAAGTTGGTATTCTGACGTTGACTCTGCAAATTTCACAAAATAATTGCACATATTTTACAGACGAGAACAGAAAAAAAGTTAAGTGTGCTTGAAAGCAAACTGCTCAGTGGACATAAAAACACATCTGCATCTGTTCAGTCCACAGTTTGTGTTAATCAGCTGACCAAAAATATTTTTTTATTTGTGCTATTGAAAATATACTCCTTGTAAAATTATGACTGCTGACAGTAAATTGTAGTCTAATTATTAAAAGTGCAGGGAGTTGATCCTGTTATGTTTTTCCCCCCTTTAGCACTGAGTTTGGGATCTACGAACCAAACTGTGGCCTTGACAATGTCCTCATGTCCTGGGGCCACGATGGTAAGAAGCATCATCAGCCACGCATGACTTAAATTATTTTTAAAAGTTCTACTACTATAGAGGAGCATTTATCTATTACACTGTGATCTACACCCTTGCGTTCTTGTCTTCAGAGTATCTCTATAGAGTTATGAAGTTCAACAAGTGCCTCATCCCAGAGGAGGTGAGTTAATTATTACCTTAAATTGTTTTTATCGGGGGGCAATTAGCTTTATAGTTGGCACAAAAGTGTTAGGCAACAGGAAAGTCTTGGCTCTGAATTAACAGCTTAAACACTAATTCCTCTTTTCCTCTGACATGGTGCCAGTTCTACTTGGTGCTCTTTGAGAACCAGGGTAGATTTCAGCAGGTTTAAGAACCAAACATTTAATTGGATTAATTTGTGGGGAAAGACTGATTGCAACTCCAACACAACCGGAGTAAAGGTCAAAGATTAGGCATCAGAACAAAAGGGGTAGAATAGAAGAATTAGTGGATAAATCCCGATTATAGTGGAAAAAATACATTTGTTTTTTCCATGCATACAGTGACTGGAGACACCTCTAATTTGTGTCTCCCTCCAGGGCTTATACATGATTCGCTTCCATTCCTTCTACCCCTGGCACTCCCATGGAGATTACATGCATCTGTGCAACGATAAAGACTTGAAGATGCTGCCCTGGGTCAAAGAGTTCAAGTGAGTATCTTAAACACACATGTAAAATGTGTTCAGTCAAGTTTTGTACCCAGGACTTAACTCTGATTCATCTACAGCAAATTTGACCTGTACACAAAAACCACTGATCTGCCTGACGTCAACAACCTGAAGGTGTACTACCGGTCTCTGATTGACAAGTACTGTCCTGGAGTACTGCAGTGGTAAAACGGACCAAAAGGAACGTTTAAAAAAGAAAAATCAACGACAACACTGTTAGAAATCGGTTAGTGGAATGATTTTACATACCTATATTGTGACACTGACTAAATGTATAGCTGGACTTGGTGTCTTTCTGTATATAGTTTAGTTTTTACTGGATAAATCAATCTTATTTTGTATATTCTAATCATTATAATAATGGCTATTTTATACAATAAAGCATGTACAAATCAAAATTTCGCTTTTATTGTACTGTTACATATATATAAAAAGATTTCAAAACACTACAGTGTTCCATGTGTTTAATTTGAAATCTTAAACAAAAACAAAACCCAAAACACACGTTTGTAGAAAAGGGGAAAAGTGCTTGTGTGATTTAGTTCTGTACATACAGCAAGACGCAAACAGCACAGGCGGGAGACAAACTGTGCCGAACAGTAGCGTCAACGCTAGACAAACCAGAGCCCACATCATCGTTTCTCGTTTCATTCTACATGATTTGTTGGGTTTTTTTAACTGGGTTTCTCCAGGTGTTCAGCTGTATATGTCAGAACTGACAAGGAAGGCATTAAAATGTTTAAAAAACTTCTGCAAAGTGAAGAAGCAGAAATACAGAGAGGTAAAGTGGGGTGCAGTGAAGTGTTGGTGAAACAAGGCAGGCATGTTGTTAACGAGTGGCTGATCGGGAAACACAAAAATACAGAAAACATCTTCTTTGGTCATCTTGGTAACATTTTATAAAGGCAGACGTGATAACAGTCTACGATGGATTACCAGCAGCTTTTTCAAGGCCCTCATCTTTTTTCTATCCTTTCTTCATCCTCATCTTCTTCATCATCATCAACTTCGTTCTCCTCTTCTCCCTCCTCTTCCACCTCGTCTTCACTGTCTGCTTCTTTGTCATCCTCCTCATCTGCCTGCTGTTCATCAGACTTCTCATGATGGTCTGAAGAAGAGCCGTCGGCCGCATTTTCAGTACGATCGGTCGCTGTGGCCTTGTGAGCGTCTGAAGGCTTCTCTGCATCTTTGTTTTTATGTCGCAATCCCTGAAGTAGACAGAAGGTGGCACTGCAGGCAATCAGGGTCCAGATAAGTGTGTGGGCAGGGACACCTCTGACCTGAGAGCGCACCCACCTCACCGCTTGGGCAACAGTGGTGTTGGACAAACGGCGCGGAGGAGACTTGTCCTATCAACAGAAATCAGTGTGGATCAGTGGTGGTGCTAACACTGGATCTTTTGAGCTGGAAAACTAAGGCTTGTGTTTTTATTACATCACATCACCAATCATGTTAGTTTTGTTTTCACACTGAAATTATTAAACCGACTGCTTCCTATACTGGCATACGTCATGGACATGTAGTCTAATTCATGCAGGAAAATAGAACTGCATGCCGCATCTCATTTTCACCCTCCCCCACACTTTTGACCACTTGTAATATTCTCTACAACTCATCTGAAAAGGATGACACACTGGTGTACAGTGGGTCCTCTTTTCTCTTCTGACTGGTCTGCATTTTTTGTCCCAGGGAGGGCTTCAAACACAAAAATCTGGTTCTGTGGAACAACTATCCAGAAGCCTAAATCTAATCAGGAGCGAACATTAAGCACTTCGAATACAGGAAAGCATTTTCGAGAGTTACCTTAAGTCCATATTGGTTGAGCATGCCCTCTAGGAAACTGTTTCCCAGATGCACTATGGGATAGAACTCCTCATCATAGACCCTCCTCCACCAGCGCTCTGGGAAAGAGCTGCAAACAAAGAGTCGGTGAGGTCTAGTTTTAGGATAAAATAAGTAAACCTGCATTAAATTTAGTATGCATGTCTAAAGTCACTTTTTTTTTTTTTTTAAACACCAGAAAATGAAATAAAGGAATAAATCAAGCCGTGAAATGTTTCCAGTGAAGTTTCTTCAATGCATGCAAACACAATGAAGCACGAGGAGAACCAGAGAGCACTGACCCGTCAGCCTTTGATTCGGTAAACCAGTATCTGTAGCGGTGAGCTCGCAGATAGGCAGGCGGCTGCTGGTGAAATGGATACTGGGATACATCCGACTGGATCAGTTCAACAACTGCAGAACACAAAGCAAACTTTAAGAGAACTGTTTGTTCCTGACCAAGGTAATTGAGCACTGTAGAATAGTCTAAGTCAAGACTAAGGTAGAACAGAAATCTTGTAACATGGATCTCTGGTGGATTTTTATTTGCCTCCTGCTACTTTTTCCTTTGATTGCACCACCTTTGAAAATACCATAAAATGTGGCTTTCAAATAAAACCGTATAAACAAACAACATGGGATTTTTTCCCCCTAATTTGATTAACTGAACTTCCCATTAAGCAGCTGCACAAGGAAAATGCAGCTCTCCGCTCTACGTGTTCATACCGTCTCTTTTTCCTTGCAGGAGTCTGTACATCAGGCTGGTGAACCATGGAGATTGCGTATTGGGCCCAAGAGCAGCAAACCACATTTGCCAGTCCAGCCTGGGCTGATGGGGTGTCAGCACAGGAGGAGGTGCACTCAGATTCCCTGGCTTATACATGAACTCAATCTCCTATAAAGAAAAAAAGATTTAAATAAAAATAAGTTAATGTTATGAAATATGCAGTTTTCCTAATCTACAAATTAGAGAATTTTACATCTTGTTTAAGTTCTCACCGTCCATGTGACCCCATCACTGCTTCCCTCAATGACAACCTCGGGTCGCCCGCCAACTCCGGTCATCCTTCTGAACAAACCGTACGAGTTGACTACCTGATAGCGATCAACCATCTCATAGGCTTGGCGCACTCCTGGCCACAACCTGGAGTTGGAATCGTACTCTATGAAGGTAAACGGCACCTGAAAGAGAATCAGGCGATTTACAGCTGATCGCTTATGAGCTTTATCAGTTCCCATGTTTCCAACAGAACTCACCAGGCTGACAGCGAACATTGAAGCTGCAGCCCCCGCGAACACCGTCCACTGGACCGTTCCCCAAAACCTCTTAAAGAAACCAGACACACACGCACACCTAGAAATAAAAGTTAGATGTTAAGTTGCACAACATCTAAAAGGCAACTGCTCAACAAGCAACACATCACAACCATTTATAGGTCAATCTTACCTGAAGAGAGAGGTAACCATCTCCCAGGTGAGTGAGAGGACACCGATCCAGATACAGGGAATAGTGACGGTCTTCAGAAACAGGTTAAACTGGTGGTATGTAAATGCTGCCAAGGACATTTTAAGAAACATGAAAAAAGAGAAGCAAAATTGGTTACAGGCACATAAAAAGAAAAACAGGCATCACCTGTCCGCGAGGAGATGCCTTTCTTAGCTGTATCCAGCTGCAGGTCAAAGCAGATGATTGTTCCAACAATCAGCAGAGCCCAGACCACCAGCTCCAGCAGGTAACACAGCCACGACCACAGCTTTGAGTCTAAATACAGTGGAGAGAGAGAGCGAGCAAAGTTTGTCCTCAATATTTCTTTTAGTCTGAAGGAAGTTGAGATAAAACAAAATGTGCATTCTTCGTGACAAACAGCTACGCCTTAGCCTACGAAACATCGCCTGGGCTGCAGCTGTGCAATGAAGTTTCATACCATCATTCCCGTTATCAGTCTTGTATGCCTTGCGCAACCAGAAATAGACATGGCGATCATCCAGAAGTGACAGACAGAGGGTCACAGTCAGCAGGTTGAAGAAGTTGTAGTTGCCAGACAAAATGATGAAGACTTGAAGCAGCACCTACACGAGGAGAGAAAACAGACTGATTTCATTTTAGAGCCAACATTGAAGTTGATAATACTGCAGGTGAAACTAAAGCAAAACGCGAAAAAATTCATTTCTTTTCACCTGCAAGTAAAAAGCTCCAAGTCGGAGCCTCCGCAGTGGACTGAAGAACAGGAACGGAACAGCGATCTCGATAACGAAGGCTCCCACCACGCTCAGCTTCTGCCAGCACACCGGCAACTGGTGGGCAAACCAGGCCAGAGGGGTTGGGATACACTGAGTCTCGTAGTGATACGTGAGGGCTGCTCAACACACAGCAAAAAGAGGGAGAGAGTAATCAGATGGAGGAAAATGACAGAATGAAATGGGAAAAGAAAACATGACACCACTGTGTAAAGACAGCATAAATGGCATCCATACAGTCACTCATCCGTACCTGTCAGGCCCCACCAGGTGGGACAACGTGAGGTTAGCTTCACCACCCCGGATGCAAACATGAGTCTGAAGAGTAGCCAGCGAGTAAGCCAGAAGGTGACACGATCGTGCTCTCTGACCCCTCGTGACCCTCTGATTAAAGTCAGGGGAGCAACAAGGATACAGAGGAACCCTGTCTCTAGGAGCAGGTTGTCCCTGAAAAGCAAGCAATCAAAGCAAGAGGAGAGACTAGTAAGAAATTGCATCTACAACAGTGCTGCACAGCAGCAGAGACCTTGCAGCACACTGATAAAATGATCTACTTTAAGCAGCTGCTGTTTTAGAAGCTGTGTGGTATTCAGGAAAAAAATGAACTGCATTGCACTCACCACTGGAAGTAGAGGAAAACCTGGCCTACCTGTAACAGACAAAAGTTTAGTGAGAAATACTGTGACAGGAAAAAACAGAAGAGCGCATTACCACCGTGCAAAATCACCTCATACATAGACAGGTACAAGACCCAGAGGCAGAAGAACACCACACTGTCTCGAAAAGCCTCCACCAGCGTGGCAGCAAGGCTCAGTGCCGCACCGATAAGACACAGCAGCTCCATGGCAGTGTGAGTGTCCAGGCCAAGCCGAGGTCCCAGCCACAACAGCGTGGGAGAGGAGAGCAGCTGCTCCACCAGAGGCTTCCCGCTGTATCGCAGCTGCCAGCGGGCAGGGAGCAGCCCCTCATTTCCATACAGACCTGCACACAAACACGGAAAGCAACAGTACTGATTATGCTGGTGGTGAGCAGTGGATTCATTATGTTACTCTTTTTAATGAATTTTACTTCTCAGTGCTGGAGATTATAATCTGAGTCATTATAATCTGGTGACCTGCTGGGTGGAATCGAAAAATAACAACACTGGTCATACATATGTGATGCAGTTCTATAAGTAAAATGAATGAAAATATTTTATTATAACCACCAGTTCTTAACAAGTTTAAAAGCTTTAACAATGTTGCAAATGTATGTACTATGGCGTAAAAATTAACGAGAATAAACAGTAGTAACCTTTGCAGTGGAAAGTCATGTTGCCATTGCGACTAAATAAAAAAATAGCCCAAATACATTTCCTTTCAAATATGGGCGGAGGATTTTTTTTTTTAACTTAACCGGGCTGCAGAGATACCCCTTACATTAAAAACATCGTTCGGGTGTGCTGTGACTCAAAATGCCACCGTATGTCTTTTTTTTTTTTACAACAGGTTGCTTGTAAATTTGGCCCAGTTGCAGGCTGACCGTGCCCGGGATGAAGAAACTTCCAGGCGGTTCTTCACCACGTCTAACGGCGTGGAAAGCAGAGGAGCGGACACACAGGAAGCGCCAAGTTCCCAGCTAACAGGCTAACACATAACATTAAGGGAAGTCAGCTAGCCGCTTCTTGGGCTGCAGAGTTGAGAGGCTCACCTGGTATCTGCACGTAGAGGGAAACAAAAGCAGTCAAGTAGATGACCGCCATGCACCAGAGGAACATGCGGCGTGGCAGAACAACTTCCCCCATGTTTGACCGACTCCCGTTCTGCTTTTTTACCCCTTCACCTATCGGTGCTACTCCCGTGGAAGCTGGGAGCGGGATTTCACGTAGCTGGGGGACACGTAGAAACGAGCTGCTTACGCTAAATTCACCCGAATGCTCGCTAGGTGCCGCTGCAGGTCGCTTGAACGGTGTGGTGCGTTAAAGGTACACGGGAATTTAGATATATAACCCGATTTAAGGATTAGCTTGTTTCTGACGATCAGATCATAATTAATAAAATACATTTTACAAGAACAAATCAATGTCGTATACATTTATTTTTTATATTTTCATATAGCTGATATTTTTCATCACTTATTTCGAGGGATACCTCACGTTTATTCTATGAAGCTGAATGCAAAATAAACAAAACGATACAAACAGAAGAATAAACTTTGAAAATGTTTAAATGTTTAAAATAAAATAAAACGCAGGGTCACGACTTCAGAAGGTTGTTTCTACGGCTACAAAAAATAAATAAATACATTATTTTTGAAATTCTAATGAAATTTTAGAGATGTCCAACTCAAAAGACAATAAACGTAAACTCCACTCTAAATCTCTTTGATTTGCAAATGGCAACAATTTTTTTTTTTTAAATTATGGTTTGGGGAGGGGTTTTTTTGTTTTTGTATTGGCAGAAATAATCTTTAAAAAGACAACTACAGATCCCGTTCTATTTTTATAGCTCCTCAAATTAAACAAATAACAATAAAAACAAGAAACCAATAGCTGTCACTTTGACTCAGGTTTATTGTGCAAGACCTATCAGGCAAGCATACAGGGTCATGGCAATAAAAAAAAATGGGTCTGCATGCTGCTAGTCAAAGAGCCAAAGCTTCCAAGTATTTACATTCAAGTTTTAGACACAAACATATGAAACTAATCACAAACAGCTGATCACACACAAAACAGAGTACCACTAATCCTCTGACACAGTGACACAAAAACATCATGAAACTCATTGCACAGCTGAATTAAGTAGTAGGACTCTTTAACTTACAAAAATACTAGAAATCTGATTTTTTTTTCTCTCTTTTTTTTAGAACACTTACAGTCTGTTTTCAGGTGGCACAGACACTTGTAGCTGCTCCCCCCCCCCACCCCCCCACAATAGACAGAAGACCAGCAGCAAGACTCTAAACATAAACACGAGTGCCCACGAAACAGCGATTAAGCTTGGCGAAGGTATGTGAAATTTGACACACACAGATAAATGCATCAAGAGGACGTCAGTTGCTTCGATACCCAGAGATCAAGGTTTAAATACTTCAAAACAACCTCATTTTTTATATTCTATTAAACATCCCTGCTACGACATCCCAAAGACCCGCTTTATATCAACTCACCAGTTTTGTTTGTATTCATCTGACATCACACCTGTCACCATTTCCCTGCTCACTCCAGTTGCATGTGAATAAAAAGCATACCTGCTATGTCACTTGAATTTAGGATAAAGCAATATAATCTAATAGTTTTAAATAGCTTTATACTGAATATATGGTAATGGCTATTCTAAAGGGAGTTATTGCTCTACAAAAATATGTGCATATAACACCTATAATTTTGGCTTGTGTTATCTATATGCATGTAACATAAGTTTCCTCCCAGAAATACAGCTGTGACACCATCGTTCCACACTTGCAGAACAATTCTGGACTTCCTCTGAGAAACACTTTAAAACTAATTAGCAAGATTCTCAAAAATTCAACATGAGCCCAGTTTAGACATAAAACATTAAAATTGGACAACAGTGAACGGATCACATGTCCACCTGGATTCTTTGGAATTAGCTTCAAAATTTTCCACTTCAGGCTATTTTTTCTATAGTTTAAGAAAGAGCACCAATCAGTTGAAATTTAAACACTTGCCTTGCCTGATGCATAATCTGTTCACTTGGTGCTCAACACATGGGATGAAAATAACTGAGTAAGAATTTGACTGTGTTTTAAAATCATTAGCTTGTATCCCTTTTACTTCAGTCATTGAGCGACATCTGTGATCCGTGGATGGACAAATCAGTCATAGCTGCCTTACTCATACCCGACTGGATGACCAATATACCGTGGCTGCGAGTGACCCCAGCATGGACGGCTTTAACATGAAGGTTAGGTGTAAGGAGTCGGTGACTGGTTTTAAATTAAATGTTTTTAAATACTTTGAAATTCCATAATATGTCCTGCAAAATATGTTCTCTTTAAACAAAAAAGAAACATCCCACACTCCTATATTAATATAGATTGCTTTGCATGCTTGAGCAATGGTTCTTTATTCGCTGTGTCCAAGCCTTTGGATCTTTTATAGAGTTTTAAGGCAAACATAAGTCAGTCAGATTTGGACGGCTAGACTTAAAGTGTGTTGACTTAGTGTGTGTTTCTTGGAGCACGAATTGGGGACCAGTGTCATTGTCATGTAGCCCCATCGGTTTCACCGCCACCGGTCTGTCCAGTATTTGCCGTAGATGCTGAGGACTCCTGGTCTGTTTCGCTGATGCAGATAACCGCATCACCGCTTACATTTATGAGACACTGAGCCTAAGAGAAGAACAAGTACACAAAATGTAATCAATTGAACAGCCAGTACTGAGATAAACCGCCTGTTAGTAATGTGCAGTTTATATCACCTGATTTTTATTTGGATTTTCCATGAACACACATTCTTTCATGCTGTAAGACACAACTGCATTGCCGCCAAGGGCCGCTACATGGGCTCGAACCATCGCAAACACCTCCGCGATGAATGAGTGAAGGAAGCCACTGACACCGCCTTCCTGCACAGAACAAAAACACACTTTACGTTTAAAACTGCGCGCGGGACTTTGGATATTTTACTGACGTCGCTCGTACCTCCCGTAATGATGTCGTCTCTCTGATAAAAAACATGTTGATAATGCCAAGGTATTTAATGATGCGTGTCCCGGGAAGGAAGGAGAGCGGCGTCATCTTCACCACCGTTACCGAGCTGCCTCCAAACGAGCGACTGGAGCGCAGCGAGCGGGAACGTCCCTCTTGAAGCGGACTGCAGCGCTCCAAAGATGAGACTGCAGGTTCAGAGAGAGTGTAGGCAGAAGCAAGTGGGAGACGTGAAGAGAAAAACAAGAAGAGAGGAGAGGGGGATATAAAGAAAAAGAAGAGATAAAACGGGAATGGAGATACCAGAAAAAACTCTAAACTAGTGGAAAGATTAAAAGCAGACATGAGCCTTGAAGCAGAAAGAAATGTCATAGTGGAATGAGCATGCAGAAACTCAGCTGTTAGTGTTTGCACAGCAAGAGTAAAATGTGCACTTACATGTGCTTAGGCATGTGTGTGTGTGTTTGTTAGATTTACATGCAGCATTGAGAATGCAATAGACAATCACTTGGCGCGTGTGCGCTGCCATGCATATCATGCAGTTGATGCAAACAAACAATTACACATGTCTGCAGACAGACAGACAGACCTGGGCACAGCTGTTTACAAGTGTGAATAGAGTGCTTACAGCAAAGTACATGAGAGATTTTATTCTATATGTTGGCATTTGTGAAGAAGGCTTCAGACATGGAGACAGACAGAAACGGCTGTGAGGCTGAGGCTGGGCACATGTACACAAGCCAGAGTGTGAAAGATGCTCCAATATCTTATTGCAAATTTACCTGATGTGGCTTACATCCATCAAACCAGGAACCTTCAGAGCCACATATTAGACTGTAGTTTACTTAACATGCACAGATCTGAAAAGTCACACGAGCTCTTGCAGAAAAGCTTTGACCCCCGCCCCACCGTGATTATCAGTGTGTTCCCAAACAAATCAGACATGAAATCCTTTAGCATTCATACAGTGTCTCCTCCTATCTTCCAAGCATAAGAAGAATCAGTGATGCAAAAGCAGGGGAGGGGAATAAAAGGAACCCTCCGGAGGTTCTCATGAAATTGCTGCAACCAACAAGCTATTTGAGAAAAATGCTGCACACAAAATGCAAAAACCTTTCTAATGTGACACACTGTTTTTGGCAAGCTGCAAATTGTGGATCCCTCTGAGGGGCGGGGCGTCAACTTTCACACTCTAGCCAAAAAAACAAAAACAAAGCTGGTGCTTGATTTACAATGCTCCGCCCCCCAGCGGCATGCATGGAGGGGTGTGTGCGCGTATGTGTGACCGCTTGTGAACCGTGTTCTGTATTTGTGGGTATGATCACCAGAGTGTGCTAGAGACTGTGTCCTCCTACTTGTCTTAACTGATCCTCGTCTTATGGTGTGAGCTTTCAGCCTAAGCAGCTCTAGCCAGGTGCTGCATCTGTCTGCAAAGGAACCGTAATCAACGGAGGCAGCTGGAGAGAACACACACGCACGCACGCACGCACGCACACACACACACGCGCGCACACACACACGTGCATTCACAAACGCAACAGCAACAACAACAACAAGAAAAGAAAACGAAAAGACAAAACAGAACACAAAACAAACGAACAGAAAAGAACAAAACTGGATGAGGGTTGGGAGCTGTGCAGGATAACTCTGTCCGAGACTAAAGGATGAAAAGTCAAAACAGGGCAGTGTAGTAGTTTCGGTAGCGGGAGAAGGGGCGGGGAAAATAAAAGACAAGAAGGTAGCTTACCTCTGGGTGACATGTTGGTACTTTCTCCGACACCTGTCACACACACACACACACACATACACACCATCACAGTCTAACTTTGTCCTTGTCGGAAGGCGAGAAAAGTTCAGTAACAACCGATTACTGCCACAAGGCGAACACAGCAGGCGCTGCCTAGCTTTAACCATCACCCCCACCCCATTATCCCATGGCTGTGTTAGCCTAATGCAAATGGGGGTCACCAACACAAAGTCTCTTCTAGACAGCGTCACAGACTGTTATCTAAGTTCACGGCAAAACAAACTCTCACTTGTCTACTACAGTTCATTTACCTGCTGATCGGACTATAAGCAGCTGGTTTTGGCAGAGCTTTGCAGCTGGGCTGAATAAAGAGACTGTATCTGATGTGTTAGTGGACGAGATGGGTGATACCTGTTTAGTGAAGCAGGGTAACGGATGAGGTAAGGGAGGTAAAAATACAGTTAAAGATACCTGAGATTTTGGATGCTGTCTGAATGTTGGAAGAGGACGAGTCTGCACACAATTCCAGGGGAAACTGCAGCTGCTCTTCAGCCTCAAGGCTCCCTAAAAAGATACACACAAAAACCACACTCAACTTTACACACAACACACAGCACTAGCAAGGATGTTTCTTAAAAGCAATACACTATTTAGAGCAGGGGTGTCAAACATAAGACCTCAGGGGCCAGAATCAGCCAAAGTGGGTTGTATGTGGCCTATCGTGTAAAATGAGTTTGACATCCTGGCTTAGATCCTAAAAGAATATTTGTTTTCCTACTTCACTAATAATCATGCAATAATTCTCAGCTTTGCTCAATATTGATATCAACTTACCTAAGCTGAGTTATTGCATTATTTGGAGTCAAGTAGTGGCTCACTTCATAGATACAGCTTGAATTTTTTTTTTCTTTGACTGATGAGTACTGAGTGTATTAAACTGGACATGAAAGCTTTCCTTCATCTGAGCAGAGCTTTAACTGAAGTAAAATTAACAGAGAGACTGACCTTTGTTGACGGGCTTCTCAGCTGTCTTCTCCTGAGTCTGTTCCTTGTCATAGGTCATGGCAACGGCTGTCACTGTGACCTGCGCAGGGAGACGAGCAGAGGAACAGCAGTAGATAAAAATTTTTTCTCTCAATTACATTCACTGCTCTGGCAGCTTGACAAATGAGTGATAGCCTGAATTGTCTCACCTGTATGAGCTCTTCTTCTGGCACTGCTACGGTGAAGTTGAGATGACAAAGACAGCAGGGGATCATAGAGCGCAGCTTGAAGTAAAAACTCTGAAACAAACATGATGAATTGTAGACTTGTAAAACCCAAAACTAAACACAGACAACCATAGCAAGTTCAACTAAGAAAAACCCCCCCCAAAAAACAGTGCCAGTGTGAAACCTGCTCCATGATGGTTTCTTACCTTCAGCAGGTTCTCACAGAGGTCAGTAAAGATCTTGTTTAAGCCTTGGTTAGTAAGATTGGCATTGCTCAACCTCAAAACCCTCACTGATGTAAACATCTGTCAAAATAAAGGATGACACAGATTTACACAGATCTAAATTAATACTTAATTGTATTTATTTCTAAAATAATTATTCTGCAATAATGGCTAGTATTGATACAACTACGTTCAGTACGTACCTGTACTCCTGAAGTCCAGTTAGAAATCCCAGGCATATTTTCAGTGTTGCAGCTGTAGAAACCTGAAGACATTGAAGCAGATGCAATGAAGCACAGAAACAATGGCACCTGCTAGAGCTTGGACTGAATTATTAACTTGTGTGCAGTGCATAACGATCCATTGTAACTGAACCAGAGTGAGTGTGCAGCATGTACCTGTGGGGGGAGGTGCATCGATCAGGAGGGAGTGGATATCCTCCACGGCATCGGTGTCATCAATCTATAGGAGTGATCAAACATTGTCACCATTTAAACTGGCATTTACAACTGGCGTGTACTGATTTGATTTGTACAGATACACACCTCCAGGACGAAGGCATCCTTTTTGCCGTGGGACAGATCCAGTTCTGATAGCTCGTCTGAGCTTTCCGAGTGGGAGCGAAAAAGTCTGGATCGATGCCTTGGCTCAGGGATTGGAGAGCCCACCCCTTCCTCTGCAAGCTCCTGCAAGCAAAACAGACGCAGCGTCCGAGCAGACGGGACGTCAGAGAGAAAACCAGAACACCGCAGAAGATCACATCTGTATCTAACATCTGTACATCTGTACTGTAACTAGTAGAATGACTGTGTTAGTAACAATCCACATGCTCTCACTCACCCAGTCAACTTTACTGACACACACTCATGGTTGGTGTTAATTTGGGAAAACGCACACTCGCACACACACAAATATATATGCAGGGGAGAGTGTGATTGGTCAGGGGAGATGGACATAATCAAAGTACGTTAACAACTTATAAAATGACTTTGCAGTGAGTCATCTGAAGAGGTGACTCAGGTGTGGGTTATGTATTATCCCCACACACAAAAAAAGTCCCCAGTTAAGAGCTGCAATTAATAGTGTGAGATTAATAGTGTGAAACACTTGTCATGCTTTGCTGCGTCTCACAGCTAAAGGTTGGCATGCTCAGTACCATGTTTATGCCGCAGAACACCTCAGGGTCCAGGGCAAATAATTTCTTTAATGATCAGAGAGAGACAAGAGGGGTAAGTTTATCACGATTCACAAAGAACAGAATATACAGCCCAGGCATATATGGACAGTTAGAAGTTGTTCAGCTTCAGCACAGAGGATTTAAATAAGATGACATGTACTACATTAAAGTGTCAAGTCTTAGATTTCATTTGAGAAGGTGTGCATCAGTATGGAAAGGACCGCTTCCTATGCACGGCAGACAACGTTTAGGGACTCTTTCTTTAATCTGACCTTCAGCAAGTTGAATAGGTCTCAAACAGATTTGGCTCAAGTGATTAACACAGCGATTGAAAGACAGCTCACTTCTTCACCCTGGAAGGCTCTTTGGTTGCTTCGGCTATGTGCCTGATGACCATTTTTAATGCATCTAGAGAATTCACCTACAGTGCACACCTGCACACTCGTCCCTATGCTTTTTTTCAGCAGTGAATTAATTAACAACTAGCAATATGACATTAGCAAACACAGCCATATGGGCTGAAACAATAACAGAGAGGGGGCTTTAAGTCAAAAGATCTATCTATCTATCTATCTATCTATCTATCTAGATCAGGGGTGGGCAATCTCAGTCCACGAGGGCCGGTGTCCCTGCAGGTTTTAGATGTGTCCTCGAACCAACACAGCTGATTTAAATGGCTAAATTAGCTTCTCAACATGTCCTGAAGTTCTCCAGAGGCCTGGTAATGAACTAATCATGTGATTCAGGTGTGTTGACCCAAGGTGAGATCTAAAACCTGCAGGGACACCGGCCCTCGTGGATTGCCCACCCCTGATCTAGATATATATACACATACGACTTGGCCCCTTTGTTCTTCTGATCCTTTAATCATGAATTAATCTGGTCACGAATTCTTCCTTTAAAAGGTGAGAACAAGTTATGTACTTGTGAAGCATTTCTGGCTTGCTTTTCAGCAAGTTTGTTTTTTTTCTTTCACCATGATTTTCTGGAAAACAAATACCAACATGGAGTTCTTTCTCTTTCATGTTCAATTCCTCTCTTCTCATTTAATGACACATAACTTCTACTTGTAACTGAAGGTTAAGTGTTGATAGTCAGCTCTGAGCCATGACACACAGCCACCCAGGAAACAGTTTCCAGTTGGCCGGGCACTTTGAATCTTTGTAAATCTTGACCCTTTAATGTTGTATCCAATCAACAAAGCTTGGAGAACAAAATAAAAAGGTAACTGTCCACATAACTATAGTCTGGACTGTATAGTATGTCTCATAAAATGTTTTTTAACACTGTAAAATATCACCAAAATAATGGAAAACACTAGTATTGTCCATACAATGTAAAAGCCTGATGACAATGCACTAGTCTTTAATATTCTTGGTCATAGACCGTAGATATTTTTTCTTTCAAAGTAGAAAAAAATGTGAAAACTGTTCCCACTTGTTGCAGTATAAAATGACCACAAACAGTGATGTTATAGCGTATTCATCAGGGTAAGTTTTTACCATGTCTGAACATCATAAATTTTAACGTTTTTAGTTCTGTTGTGCTAAAAGGCTTCATACATGACACCACAGCTACTGCAGTTGGAAACAAACCTACATTACCACAAACCCGCCCTGAAAGGTGAGACTTTTCAGGCTTTATCACAAAGATCAGCTTCCATAAGTTCACTGTATCAGCAAGTGTTGACTGTCTCACCGGAGGATTTATTTGATAGAGCTCTTTGTTCACAGCTATGGTGTCATTAATCCTTTTCTGAATGGATGATATATGCTCGCTGCTCAAGTCTCCTGGAGTCTTCCCTGCTATCTGGATACCCCCTGGAGCAGGCAGAGCTGTCAGGTACACACCTGTAGCAGACTGAACACACACACGTTTACTTCGATTAAGATCCACCACACATAAAAGCGACATAATCACTTGTTAGCATGAAAGGTTAACCTACAGCCAGACCCAGGAGCATGTTCTCGCCAACACTGATCTGTATGTGCAGGCCAAACAGCGCGTTCATGCTCCGCAGTTTCAGCTTATTCATCAGCTGAGTGTGTAGCTCATATTCCATGAAAGGCAGCAGGTTAGAGATGGCCGTTGCATTCGCTTCTCCCTGGGCTTTCTTCTTTAGACGGCACAGCCTGACAGATAAGAGGCACTGGCATTGAAGGTGCATTGATCCACTCATAGAAAACCTGCTTGACTGAACCCAATTGAGGTCTAAAATTGACCTTGATTGGTCAAAATTGCTCACTTTGATAACTTCCTTTGATGTCAAAATGCATCGTCTGAGGTGTATTGTTTAGTCCACATGATACCACTGAAGAATATTGGGTCTTATAAATTATGTTATCTGAAATATCTACTGTAAAAGTTATAATTTATAGCTAGATTATAGAGTGAAATGCTTGTAATATACTTTACTTTTATAGATTTGAGTTGTGTGTGTGTGTATTTTTCCCTAAGTAATATTTTTTAAAAGCCTTTTAACTCCTTTTCTGCTAATATCAAGAAGGGTTAGTGGGTTGGTGAGGTGTTATACCTGGCCTGGATAAGGCAGCCCTTTCCTGCAACAGCTGCTTCTGATGGCAGGTCAATTGTTGTGAAGAGCACATCAGGAACCTTACAAAAAAAGGCAGTAGTTATTGATATTTTTAAAGAGCAGAAACCTTTTATTTAACCTAAAAAGAAATTAACTGTATTTGATACCTTTTGTCGTCTACAGTGGTAACAATAGGTGAGCTGTGCAGGGAAGGGCATGTTGAGCTCATCGTACGGGATGTGACAGAAGCCACAGTTCGGTGGCGATGGCTCCTCAAACCTGGAGAACAACAAAAACCAAAAAGGTGCGTTGTCATAAACACGTGATGACTGACATTCAGACTGTCCGAGACTTTGAGCTGAACAATAAGAAAAAAAGAAACCAACCTGTGGTCGGTGCAGCCGATGTCCAGGCAGCCTTCACGCATGTACCGAGGATTCAAGATGGCTGCTGTGCCAGATGCGGACAGAATACACACCTCCTCGCTGTTTTGAGCCAATGCGAGAAATGAAAAGAGAAAAACAAGATAGCGCAATGAGAGCAGGACACAAAGAGAGAAATCACAAGGATCCAAGTGTTTTGTACCAAACTCGGGATTAAAGTGCATCACTTTTCTGTGTCTTTACGCAGTACATACCAGATGCTTGTGCTCTCACTGTACCCTACAACCGCATGGCAACCGAGAGCTCTGGCATGAGATTTGATCTCCTGGCGAATCTCCTCCCACCAGGCGTCGCGAGTCTCGGGCTCATCTGCGAAACACACAATTCTAAATCAAACAGCCTTCACGAGGCATTTCTAACTGAATTATTTATCAAAACACCTCACTGAACACTAAAATATAGGTTAAAAATGCAGTACCCTCACAAATCCAAACAACACTAACAGGAAATCTGTGCATAATCTGGTGCCTAATCTGACTGCTTTGACTTACCAGAAAATCAACAAACAGCCAACATTACAGTTTGTATTTTCTGATGTTTTATGGGTTAAACAGTGTATCAAAGCAGGCCAAAACCAACCGTGAGTTTGTAAAACAAACTGACACTGAAAATGGTTTGTGAGAATTTCAGAGAGATGATGATGATGAAGGCAGAGTCAATGGTCAGACAAGATTAGTTCATTAGTGGACATCATATAAATGTTCATGTCTCCCTTCTCTTTGTCTCCTTTCAGCCAGCTGCACTAACCGAAAGGACACAGCCACCAGCCATTATGTGGCTCTGCTAGTATAGATAGAAAATCTGGTATAAGAGAAGACACTACGCCTAATTTTAAACGTGCTTTCCTATCCTGGTGACAAAGCTAGTAATTTTAAAGCGATCGAGCCTTCATCATACTTATGCTAAACCATGGGTGTGTTTCAATATTCTCATGAGGCTTTGCTCCAAACATCTTTTTCTTTAAAGCCAAATCATTGCAAGTTGAGAGCTTAATCTGACTCATATGGTTGTTTTAGGCTGTTGAACAAAGAGGACATGACCAAAAAAAAGCTACATTAGAGTATTGAGCTTCACCCCATGATTCCCTGGGAGAGCTACATGCTGACAGAGCCTCCCAAATACAGAGAGAAACTCAAATGGTAGGTGAGACAGGGGAGAGGAATGAATGAGGGGGTGAGAAGAATGGGCTGTGAAACTGAAGAGATGAAGAACAATGACTGATGGTCAGGCATTAGGCCCACGAGGTGGGTTTCTTTAAACCAGAAGCAGTTATGTCAAACAGGCACAGGCTCACCAACGTGCACACTCATGACCATGTGCACAGTCATGGGCAGAGAAGGGCCATATTCATTCACTAGAGTCCATCAAATCTACTCCATTATTTAAGTCAGCTCACCTCTTTCCCTCCATCCCCACCGTAAAGTCCCAGATCCAGTTAATTTTCCTCAACTGTGCCCCCCAACGACTTCTTTCCATGCATCCATTCATCACTTTTCTCTCTCTTTCACTTTCTTTCTCTCAGTATGAATACGGCCCAGTGAGTTAAGGATGCACATGCCTCAGTGGCTCTTTGTGACAGAGTAAACCTCCTAAACCTCCTCTGGTCTAGACAGGTTTGACCACAATGTTCATTCGGGAAGCGTTAGAAACAGCGCTGGGACAACGTTAGTGAAGAGCAGGAGCTCTTCTGTGCAGCAGGATGAGCTGGGTGTGGGGTAGCCAGGCCAGGCTGGATGGGGTGGGGACGCAGGGCATGCTCAACTAAACTCAGCACACACACACGCAAACACACAGATTAGAGAGAGGAAGATGGCAGCTCACTGAAGTCAGAAGTTTTCAGCAATATGAGGCTATGCTGAATTCTACTTAAGCTTTCTATGGGGGCGTTATAGTTTAACACTAAGCAAACATGGGTTTAATTTCATTGAGCTGCCATCATTCCTGTGGGTGAGAGCATTAAAAGGGGGGAAAATACCTGCAGTGACACTATTCCAGTCTAGCAGTTTGTATGAGCGCGTGTTACCCAAGGCTGGGCCAGAACACACCGTTAGTACAGAAAAGAGAGAAAAAGAAAAGAAGAGACAGTCTAACAAACCGACACAGCACAACGGAAGCACTCCACAATCACTATGCAAAGACAGACACCACTTCACAGTCACTAATGCGACGACAAACTAAGTTAGGTCCTATTGAAACAATCTGACAGAGAAGAAAAAGACTGATGAGGGAGAGAGGAGAACTGAGATGAGTAAAAGCGTCAGGCTATATTTACTTATTTTGTTTTTAACATAAGGAGAAGAGAAGCTCTACAACACAAAAAGGAGCATGCAGCGACTGTAAGTACATGTAGGCGCACTGTGGAGTTTTCACGTAAACAAAAACGAATGCGTCTCATCATAATGCACCGGGCATGTTCTTACTGTAAATGCCCCCCTGCTCCGATTTTAAATCATCAGTCAACAGGTTCAAACGGTGCCAGTCTGGAGCAGGCCGACCAACCTGAGTGAGTGATAGAAGTCATCTGGGTTGCCAACATTTAGCTGCAGTGATTCAACAACGACGGCCTTGGATGCATTTATAAAACATTACATGAAGTGCTTTTACATGCATTAGCTAATGTATTTTGCTAATAACAAGCAGATCAAGCCCGAGTTAAGCAGAACATAACTGTTAAGTTATTGTTGTTATTGTCGAAGTAAAAACAAGCTAAAAAAGTAATGCACTTGTAAAAATATCGCTCCCCGGTGCTATTTTTGAAGAAAAACTCCACAGGGTACCTTTGATGTTTTTCTGTAGTAGAAAGGCAACAGTGAACAGGGCTCTTTTCAGACTGCTTTCCAAGTTAATCCTGGAGTTTCAATCAGGGTCATTGAGTCTAATTTAAACAAGACTACAGGTTTAATCACAGCACCTTTTTTTACAGTCTTATTTTAGTTCCCCTGTCCACTTCTGACAAGAGCCCTGCTTATCCTAACCCAGCCCACATTCATCAACACTCCCCTTTGATTAGATTCTCAGACATCCTTCATTCGTATTGGTAGGCTATTAGTAAACTGAGCTAAAAGGTAAAACTACTAAGTCTATAAACTGGACTCAGGCATTTCAACACTGTTAACAGGCAGGTGATCACCTGACGAGCAAATGTCTGTAAATCTCATTTGAAGGTGTATTTATTATGCCCCTCTTAACACAAGAACAGATTCAACACAGTGAGTTCAATAAAGACAGAGAAAGGCTGGCAGAGCTTAAGCAAGACACCACAGCACCCCGACATGTTGCCACCTACAGCCAACCACACACACAACAGAAGTAGCAGGCAAAACACTGGAGCCATGCGCCACTACTGCAATTCAGCCGCAGGGGGCAGCACTGCACGACAACAACACAGCAACCACAGCACAGGCACACACACAGAGCCACCACATGACCAGCACAGACTATTAATTACATAAAGCCAGTGAGTCAAACGACAAGGTGAAAGTTGCCCCTATCCATAAAAATGTTTGACACATGTGATGATAGCCCATCCTAAAGTTTAGAACAAACTGCAGACGCAGCCTATCGGCGTGACCAGGAACAGCTTTCACCTGCTACCTACAGGACTTGCAGATAAACTTAAGTCTGACCGTCAACTTATTGTTTTGTTTTTTTCCTTTGCAAACAAATTGGGAGTAGGACCATACACTGGAAAAATTTGGCAACACAAGAGGATAATGGGTAGCATTGACTAACAGCCATTTGCAACGAGATCAAACACACACAACACTGTAGGGTCAATGGAAAAAGCTCACTCTTATCTTTTCATGGCGCGATGGACGAGCTACGTTAGGAACTTGTGTGCTTTTGTGTGTTGAACTCACCGGGGTTGTGTATCCGATCCAGTAATTTGACAGATCGAGCGCTGACCACTCCACCAACATGCAGCAGAAAACCAGGCGGGAACGACGTCAAGGTGAAGAAGGGGAACTCCTACACATTTAATTAAAAAAAAACAAAAACACACACACTGGTCACTTACAGAAAGGGCCTTTCCAGTATTTTTGTGTCTCATGTTTACTTATACATTGGTGAATATTAGGTTCTCAACTCAAAACTGAGTTCAAATATTTACTTTTTGCTGACAAGGCTAATTTGTTCTGCGTTAGGTAGGTGGTTAAAACACCACTATAAGATACAACACCTACAGTAGTGGGCAAAAGTCTTGAGTCAGCCTATATTTCTTTATATTTTACCAAGAAAATGGGAATTCTACAAACATAAATGAAATACAGTACATAAGGCAAAAACAGTTTTCACAATTCTAACTAGCCTGAAAGGTCAATATTCGGAAGGACCCCTTTTAATCTTCACTAAAGTGTGAAGTCTTTCAGCCAAGCGTCCTTCTCAGTAGTCTTCAGGAAAAGTTCTCCAGGCTTCTTAAAGAACATTCACGTGTTAATGTTTCACTTCATGTGTTTTTTTTAGCCATGTATGCTTTTAACTCTTTTGTGTTTGGAATCACTGTTGTGCTGAAAAATTAAGCAACAGCGAGGTCCTGTGTCAGGTCTTTGCTGGATTTTATTTCCTTTTTTTAAATATATGAATTTCAATTACTGTTCATCTGGTACTCAGCTAATAGCTCTTTAAAAATCACCTTGTTGGTGCAAAAATACATCTATCTAATCATGTTACATTTGCAATTTTTCATAGAGTCAACTAAATAAAAGTGAACAAAGTGTTTTTTTCTCATGGTCTGCTAGTAAAAAAGTCCCTAAAGATACAACTTAAAAATGTTTCTTTGCCAAGTTGACTGTAATGTGCAGACATATGCGAGTTAAATTCCTTTTTATGTTTGCATGATTAAGACATCAGTTTTTAGTGGCTTGACAAAAACAATAAGAAAAACTATCACGTACAAGGACTGGACTGAAAATGAATGAAAAAGCAGCCAACATGCAAATCAAAAAACCTAGAAAGACTTTCAGAACACTGGAGAACTACTGCTCAAAACCACCTACTGTACTTCCTGCTTGGAGGTAATTTAGTTTAAAAAAAAAAAAAAACACACAAAAACCCCCCCAGAAAAAAACAAGGGCTAGCTCAAGACCTTTGCACACTACTAATAAGATCTTTATATTGCATAACAAAAAAAATGAATTAGTAAATACTTTGAATAGAGATCATCCTATATTTTTAAAGGCTTCAACCCCAGAAACCTCACAGTATCAATTCTATGCAAAAAACTGAGAAATTGGAAAATCCTAAAGCAGAACCAGTTATCAAACTTCACATTTTTTCCTCTTCCAATATACACTGAAGCAGGTGATTATCACTCAAAACTGTTTTTAAAGTCTAAAACATGATGCATGTAGACTTAAGTTACAGCAGGTATAGGATAAGTGGAAACATGCACCAAGGACAGAGTGTGATGAGCCCCCCATGCAGGTTTTGTCCACTGAGATTCCCCACTACAGCCTACCCATGTAGGAATAAAACTCAAAAGCATTTCAAATACAGCTGGAAATGATTGAGAAAAACATCTATGAAAGCCTAGGTATTTAGTGTCACTGATGTAGTGATTGAATCCTTTTGAGTCTACCGTATACACATGCATTCATTAGGTCTGGAGCTGAAAGTGAAGGACAAAGACAGACAAAGTAGTTTGCGGCTGTGAATCATTACTCTGATTTACATGCTTGTCTCTGCCCACTAAGAACACAGCTGGTCTTCTGTCTCTAGCCAAGTAATGTGATGCAAATCCATGCATTCACTCACACGAGGAGCAGGAAACAAAGCCTGCTGGTATTCATTCTTAGTTGAAGAGACAACACTCTTACAGAAAAGCAGAGGGACGTAGTGATTCCCAGCCATGCAGGACCAGTATGTGATGGATGGCTTCAGTGATCAGAAATCAGGTGGGAATGCCACAAATTTCAATCGTATCCACTACTCCACAAAAGGAAGATGTCTTCCAATTTGTCTGACAGCTCCTCCCACTCTGAGCCAGGTCACAAGAATGAGCTGATGAGATGAGTATGCTCATTCCTGTTTTTGATACGGGAAACCAAAAGTCAAAGTCAGGAAATTTTTCTGGAAGGAGGGAGGCACTTGAGATGAATATCCAGACGAAACACGAACAGTCTCAAACACACCCCTTCGAACAAGAAGGGAGCCCAACTCCTAACCTCAGGCACTCTGCCTTACATGTTTGTCAATCTTTTAGGGTTTGGAGGGTGCAGAGCAATAAAATAAAAAATAAAAAAGAGCTAGGTTAGGAGTTGACTCAGGCTAGGTGGTGGCCATCCGCTTGGTTAGGGTTTCAAGGGAAAGGTGGAGAGTGAGAAGGTGTCACACTGATGGGACATACCCTGGCGTTTAACAATAACCCAGAGGAAGACGCTCCCTGAATAGCATAAGTGGTCGAGACACAAAAAATGGAACATTACTTGGTCTTACACAGACCGATCCCCATTAAACACCTCTCCAATGTCAGTTATGAATTTGTCACAAAGAATGCACCTGTGTTAAAACTCACCATTTGCACAGAGATCTGAGGCTGATATGCAACGCCAACACAAATGTCAAACCCTCAACTCTCCAAAATGGCTCGTCAGCTGTGACATTGCATTTCAGTCTCAGGTGTCTGCACCAGTAGTGAGCTAGTAATTAATTGTTTGTAAGCGTGGACGATGAGTGACACCATTGTCACCGTACCCGCTGCTCAAGAGCTGTCTGCGTCTGTTGTCTGAGGAGGGTCCTCAGAGGTCCCGCCTCCTTCCCGGCGCTGCCTCCACTGCCCATTCCTGATCACAGAGGAGAGCCTGGCTTCAGTTTTGTCATTTTAAACACAAAAGTCAGCCGAACACAAAGACAAACAAACTGTCAGGTGATTATTACATTGCAGCATTCATGTTTAAACAAATCAAGAGAAAGTTGAACTTGGATGAAAAAAAAACCTAATGATCTTCAGCCTCATGAACCTCAGACTAACTTATTCTGATCATTTAGTGCACTAGAAAATACATCAAACCACATGCTGGGAGTTAAGGTATTCAGAATAGGACTCTCACAGTAGTGTTGTGGACTGTGAGCAGTTAGTGTTTCTGACAAAACCAGTCAAGACAATTTGGGTGTGAACAGTCCTGCTGTTGACCCATCAAATGAGTGAGATGCCAACACTTCACTGTTATAAGGTTCTGGCACTCGGTGACACACAGCAGGCCTACTATACCGGAGGCTGCCAGCAGCAGGTCCTCAGTGAAGGACACGCTCTTTCTCAGCAAGGCAGAGTCTGACTGGATGGAGGAGAGTGGGGCTGAGGTGGTTGCCCTGGGATTAGAGCCACGACCACAGCCCACTGAGCCAGAACCAGGAAGGGACAGAGTGTCTGTGGAAAGGATGGGGGAGCTGGGGCAGAGGAAGATCCCAGGTCTGCATCTCACTGAATGGGGCTCCTCTATCCAACAGCAGAGAAAAAGATGGAGGGTGCATAAAGAAAACAGATATATTGAGAATGGATAGGCAGAGAGCAATGAAGAGAGTAGGTAGAAGCACAACAACTGAGAAGATGGAGAAGAGCACGATGAGGAGGAAAGTGGACACAAGCATAGAGAAATGAACTATGCAAAGTAGGTAGCTAGTATTAAGTAAGCTGGGCATTGTACTGATACTGACCTTGGTGAGTGGATCAGCTGTCAATACATTACATGGCTGGTCCACATTTTAATTAAATTAGCATGCTAACTACAGACTGATGACTTTCAGTGTTGCAGAACCCAAAATATACTTTCGATTCAAATAATTTAATGACATTTATCAAATGTGCACTGCATGTACTGGTTGTAAGGAGAGAGAAAAAGGAAAAATGCTGAAGAATGATGGGAAGCAAAAGCCATTTTCACACATGAACTCCAGACAATCAATGCTTCTGATCATGAGTCATTTCTCTTGCTCTCCATAATTTTATCTTCCCATCATTATAGTACAAGTTGATCTTGGTTTCAATCTGTCCAAAGATTTTTCTAGAACTGTGAAGGCTCTTCTAGATGTTTCCCGGCGGTCTGATCTGGCCTTCCTGTCACGACCTGTGAAAACCTCAGTTTAGGCATCTCGTTGATTGTTCCAACTTTACCAAAAGTGCTCTTCACTCGGTTAGATGTGAAGCTGTTTTTCCTAAACATGGAAATAATTCTGTTATAGTGGACTTTACTTGTCTTCTGTGGTTTTTCAAGCCTTTCGATGTTGCTGAACTGGCTAGTTCATTTCTTCTTTTTAAGAATACACCAGAATGTTGTTCCTTAAAGCTGATGCTCTCTGTTTTCTTTTGGTCTTTCAGCCAAATGATGAGCACTTTAACTTGTATTTATACATCTCTTGATCTCATATTGAGGTCAGCTACTAAATGCAAGCTCTAAACTTGGAATCAGCCCTAGATTTTTTTATCTGCTTTTAAATTATCACGGAATAACAAAAGAACATTCCTCTGAAATTGGATGTAATGGACTATGTAAACAATTGGCTGTAATTCCTAACAAGTTAATGCAATAACTTTGTCAAATGCCTCGAATTAAAGCTTAAAAGTCTACAACTCAGTCAAATCTTATTGAAAAAGTGTTAAATCCTAAAGACTTAGCTATACAGTGCACCTAAAAAGTATTCACAGCTGTAGCAGTTTGCCATGTTACAGCCTTATTCCAAAAATTGATTAAATTCATTTTTCTCTGCAAAACTTTGAGTATGATGCCACAAGCTTGGCACACCTATTTTTGGGAAGTTTCTATCATTCTTCTTTGCAGAATCTCTCAAGCTCCATCAGAATGGACGGGGAGCGTTGGTGCATAGCCATTTTCCAATCTCTCCAGAGATTCAATCAGATTCAAGTCTGGACTCCTGCAATCTACATGTGAAAATGGCTTAAGAGGAAAAGAAAGGAGGCACAGAAGAGGAAACATGAGCAAGAAAGATAATGAAGTGGAAAGAAAGGAGGAATGTGGATTAGGGGAAAATGTAGGTCCAATCCTGAGGGCTCGGGAGGGCAGCTGTGGTGAAAAGTTCCTCAGTTTTTGTGGCATTTATTAGTGGCCTGCGTTAAAATGTGCTTAAGTTGTCCTTAGGGCAGAGTTCTACCAAAATTATCTCTTGCTCAATGATTAACCATAATGACTACTAATGGAGAAGTGACCTTCAATCAACAACAGCCTCCATGAGACACAGTGCTTCTAAAGCTACAACAACAAGGGGACGGAACAAATACAGAGATCTGGTGTGCCTTCAGGCTATGAAGCACATATTTCATATTACAAATATTAAAAATGTTTTTGTTTTGTTTTGTTTTTCAAAGTGTGAAACAAGAAGACACACCAGGCCACTGAGGACAAGTGGGAGACGAGGCAAGGCTTAATAAATATTTATAATAAAACTTACAACAGAAAATAATGATAAAATATTCTTAAAAAATGAACTGAATAAACTGAATTTGAAAAACAAAACCACACAGCAGCACCAATATGAAGTGTAGGAGAAGGGAGGGATGAGAATGGGAAAGAGGGACGGGGCCAAGTATTCTTACCCGTCTTGGGCGTCAAACTGAGGTCTGTGTCTGATGATGAGGACTGGCGGCTGCATGGCTTGGAGGGAGAGAAGGGGGGAGGAGAGGAGGAGGTGGGAAGGGCTCTGAAAGGGGTTGGCGGGCCGGAGGACGAGGGCAGATCCTCAACAAATACCGGCCTGCCAGGAGAACATGACACACACACACACGTCAGTCACCACTGCACCCCTCTGAGCGTTTGTATGTGTGCGCATATGTGGGTGAGAGTGAACCGAGGTTGTTAAGTGGAAGGGTGACTTTTTAATGTGACACTTGTTTGCTTTGGGTGAGGTGTGTTGTCAGGTGCTACGCATGGCTGGAAAACAAAAAAACAAAAGCAAGCGTGAAAAGCAAAAAGTAAGGACGAAGAACAGCACACGCACACACACATAAATGAAACTAAAGAAAGCAATATGGCAAAACAGACAAAAAAAGATCAGATTAACAGAGGATGACGAGCTGAAGCATGTGTCCCAGTAGAGTGAAGCAAAGGTCAGGTGACTGTAGGGTGATTACAGGCCCTTCCTCAGAAATGCTGATGCAACTGCAAACCCGACTGCCCACCCCGCAGTAATTAGAAAATGAGAAGTGGAGGGATTCCAGACTAAAATCATTTTTAAGGACATAAGGGTTTGTCTACCTTCTTTGCCTTGATGCTTCTATCTTATAGCTTTATTGCTACACTGCATTTCTGATTTCCTGCCTTTCTCCTGCACCTATTTCCTTTCCTGCCTCTGCGTACCAGTGAAGATGAGTGTGGGTACAGAGACTGAGAAGTTCTGGGACAGTCTCTGGGAGCTGCAGACCGAATGCACTGGGCTGTTGTGGGTGGAGCGGCATCCGTGGGCAAGGGGAGACCTGGGCCAATCAGCAGAAAGAATGAGAGTGAGAGAGAGAGAGAAAGACAAAGAAAAAGAGAGAGAGGAAGACGAAGGGCCGATATGGACACGAGCGGTGAGAAACGTCCAAATCCAAATGTTGGCAGAAAGGAAGAAAGAGGTGCACACAAGAACCAACACAACACAACATTGCAGTAGAGTGAAAAAGGGAGACAAAAAAGGAAAAGAACAGCAAAAAGAGGTTGTTGGGTTTTTTTTGTTAAAACTCCCACTTTTTGCACTGTTATTCAATTTAAAGTCATGTGAAAGAAGCACGAAAACAACAAGCAGCTCTCAGTTTGAAATCTCAGTCTCACACATATACAGAGCAGGGATGCAAACACGAGGGGAAAAAAAGGTAACGAAAGCTCTACAGCATTACAGATAAGTAACCAAAAATAAGATAGCCTGGAAAGAATTTCTTTTTATATGGCTCCCTGGGAAACCTAAAAATTCTCCATTATGGCTGAAATATTAAAAAAAAGAAGTAAAAGAAAATAATCGGCAATCATTTTAATACATGGAGTAACTGTGGATATCAATTTTAAGCAAACTGATTAAGAAAGGTCCTTTATTTTATAATAGTGTAAAATATCCAACCGCTACATCTTGAACTGTTGGTCAAAAAAGCAATCTGATGACCTTGTTTTCCACTTTGGCACCATTTTGTTCTCATTATGTCTTTTTTGTTTGTTTGTTTTTACTGAAAAGTAAGTAAAGGAGGCCTAACCAAAGATAGATAGACAATTAAATAAAAAAAAGTGACCGTATTTTTTTGTAGTAACTAAAAGTGCATTTATTGAAGAGAAGGAATTGAGACTGTAAATGAGTGGCAACTGCCAGCGCTACCCCTCAACCTCCTAGTGTTTGATATAAGATATATATCGGATGACGACATAAAAACGTCTATAGTTTCATTTTATGCTATCGTTTGTTTCGTGGTGTCGCAAAATAAACTGTTTACGGCAATATTTTTTCATTATTTTGATGGTCACTGTAGTGGCTATATTAATTTCTTAAAGTTCTCTCTTTCTCTTACATTTAATATAACCACACTACAGACAGACAAGCTTTTGATTTTAATGCGTTGTGGTTAGCAACAACGACGGTAAATCCACCGCGTGTCCGCTTGTTCCACATAAACCTTTCACAATAAAGCTCAAGATCCTGTTGAGACTTTTCAAAATAAACAGAATCACGTGAAAGATGCAGCGTGTTTACGGATGAGAAGCAAAAAAGAGCCGTCAGGTGCTAAAAAATAAACCTTAGACTCAAACGTTAGAACAGGCTTTTCCTCGCAGCACGCTGTGTAATAAATACTCACAAAGAAAACGGCGGCCGTTACAACTTATGTCTAAAAATGTATAGTTTCATGCATCAGTTAAAACACTCGACTCCAGGTACGATGCCCAGCTGGAAACGCTTCAGGCAAGTCGAGCTGCCCGAGATTCACAGAATTTACAGAAAATGTTACATTTTTGTGATTTATGTCGTTATCGGACGATAGATGTCTTAATATCGGAATATGAGATTTTGGTCATATCGCACAGCCCTAGATACACCTATGGGGAAATTAAAAATCTGTTATTATAACCTTATCAAGTTATTGAATTCACAAGACTTGACCTCTGACCTTGAGGTCAAACCCAAAATTACTAAATGGATTTAATTTAGTGGAATTTCGCTTTATACTCACTACTGCTGAACAGTGTCAGTAAATTAAACAACAATAAATACCCGAAAGAGATTAAACGACAAGAATCCCGAATCATGGCAGCTTTAGCTCATTGAATAACCAGTTTAAAAACAATCAAGAATGTGTGTAATCACAGATAGCTGTTTAGATTCTGATAACATAGAAGAAATAGGGGTTTCTTTTACAACACTTTCTTAATTGCAAGAAAAACCAAAATGCAGGTAAGTCTTAAAGGAAAGATGAAGAAAGACAATCATAACAGAAAGAAGAAAATGAACTCCGGTACAATAATTACGCTCGCTTCGATTCATCACTTTGTCCTATTTTTAGTGGACACTCATGACTGTTCTCCTCACCGAAAAAAAAAGTTTTCCAATTAAATTCACACATTTCATCTCACCACCAGCAGATGTTTACATCCCCGTTACACAAAATCTCACACGCCGACACACAGATGTAAAGTTTGAAGAGAATAAGAGGCACACAAGCGCACCAAGTCGTTAAGGTTACAGGAACTGGATGTAAACCACAAAACAAATCACTTATGATGGGAAAAGCAGAAAAAAGTGAGTAACCACATAGTTAGAGGCACAGCAGAACATGTGTACTAGATACACACTAAAAAGATGCAGCACTAGAACATGCAGAGGCAGAGCAGAAAGCCATGCAAGAGGAGTCTAAAAGAGCAGACACAGACAAGGGAGGAGGAGGGGGTTGAGGATGGCTGTGTGTGTACTGTACATGTGTGTGTCTCAGGTTATGTCGTGTGCTGTTAGTTTTATGATGCACTATACGTGATACAATGGACACACCAAGTGCAAAGGGGAATCAAGAGATACTGAGACACACACAGGAGTGTGCACATAAACCTTTATACAGTACACGCTTTAATCCACACACTCTCCCTCTCGTGCACACACAATCGTCTTTCCCAAAACTCACAGTCTTGCACATAAAAGAGGTAGTAGTGTGCATGCTCGTGTTGTTGTTTCATACTCACTCCTTTCCATCTTTAGAGGGGGAATTGCAGGCATTGGAAGCAGGAGCTGTGTTTGGGTGCATGTGTGTGTTGGTGTTAGGGGCACTTCCAGAGCTGAGTTTGTCCAGCGTGCAGGCGGTACCTATGGCCCGGACCACCAGGCCCGACTCTCCTTCCAGGTCGAAACACTGCAAGTAGCCCACTACTGCATTCCCACCCATCTCCAGCACTTTAAGCCCTATTTTTCTCTGTAGTTCTCCTGGACGGGGGGGGGTAACACACAGCCATGTTAACAAAACAGGGAAAATTGGGGCACTCATTCCTCAACACCTGAATTTCCTTACCAGACATGAGAGAGATGAGCCTCTGTCGCGCTTCATTGGAGGCCCTGGGAGTTCTGATACGGTCAATCCACTGGTACTCTGGATCTTCATTTACCACGAGTTCCTCAACAAAGCCGTGCACCAAAGTTGCCCTGTAGCACTGTGGAATACATGTGGCTGCCATACAAAAACAGAGGGGAAGGAACTTAGATTTCACTAGAAAGGTTTGTTATAGCTGATATTCCATCTTTATTGCACAGTTTTAAGTGGTATTTCGTTGTTTACAGATGTGCTGATGGCACTGACACGGCTTATAATTTTGCTGATTAAGGAATAACCCCTTTTTTTGTTGGCAAGATCATTATGACAAAAAACTTGATTACAATGCCATCTAATGAACTGCTCTCCCTCACATAAATCTGAAAATTGTGCCTCATGACGCATTTAGAATCAAAAATCCACCCAAACTTACTGCAGAAAAACTTGACCCCGCATGAAGACTGTCTGAAACGGTTCAAATCGTTGAAGAGTTCCACTTTAACAATGACGTTTATTTCCCCTCGAATTCCTGATGACAAACAATAGCAATATAGATAAGGCCATGAAGAAAACAAAATAAAATTAGTGATCATTGTGGATGGATTAGCTGATTGTTATACCATGGATGGTATCATAGATGGGAAACCAGCCAGAGATGACAGAAGCAGCCTCACTGTAAAGCAGTGGATCAATGTCAATGTAAACTTTCCCTATGGCATCATTAGCACTGTAAGTGTCGTGGTCCAATACTGTGATCTGCAATGGCTCATCCTGCAAGTCCTCATCATCGACCTACAGACAGCAAGGCGTGAAGAGGAACAAGAGGCAAAAGCGAGGAGGAGAGTTTAGAAATCTACAGAATCTGATTGCAATTTAATGTAGTAATAACATCGGTCCCTCATGTTCAAAGAGAGGCATTTTACCTCAAATTTGAACCACTCCGAGTTCCATTGTGGATTGAGGGATTTGGGACAGACATCCGTTTTGAAGGTTGTGTTTCCAAACTTGACCTGGAATGTAATCAGACACCTTTTTTAAATGCCTAATTGCTTTTCTTGGCTCATTTTAGAGGGGAAGTGACTATCAGCATTAGGACAAACAGTTCATGTACAGTCACACTGCTGTAAACAAATTAAGTACATAAATTCTTCTCTTACCTCTACGAAAGCATCAGTAAGGTCACTGGCTCTGTCCATCACAGGCAAGTGGCGCCCTGCCACAATTTTGGCCTTCAGTTTCCCAGGCATGATTCAATTTTACGCTGATCTGTCAACATATATAATTAAATCTGTCAACACTGCCCTTAGCAACAGGAAACATCGAGGCGTCGGTAAACATGTTTTGGTGATAACGTGCAGAGCCCCTTCCTCTGTTTACAAGCTCACTAGCTAATTAGCTTAAAGCTAAACTAGAATTTGTATTTCTTGTTTTTCAAAAAGGATGATCCACTCGGTTTGAGGTTATCTACTGGATTGCCGTTTATCAAAACAAAACAAAAAACAAACTATCAGTGTGCTAGATTAAGTTAGCAACACGAGGCTAACACGAAAAGCCACTTAGGTTAACTGCATTGCAGTCAGAATCTCTTTAGCTCTAGTTACCTGATCGGCCATGTTTTTACAGTCACACGGCAAAGCCTCCACCTATGCAGCTACAAAATAAACATGTTGTCTTCAGTGCAGACTGTAGCATCCTTACCAGTGCTAGAAGATTAACATACAGCTGGCCAAGCAGCAGCAGTCTCGTTTTACTCGGACATTATTGTTGACAGTCCACCGTTCGTCTGACCTCCGTGTCTCTCCCATAACACGAGACGTGAGTTCCCAGTACACCACACAGGAAAGTGTCGCTCAACTTAGAAATCATCCAGCCGCAGATATTGCGGCTTTACAGATACTGGCGATGCTCTACAAATGGCATTACTGTTCACTTACTATTTATTACACACGTCCCGCGTAAATACAACGGCTAGCTTGACAGCATGAAGCCCATGATGAATGAATTCTCACTTGGGGTTGTTGTGTGCTGCGTTTGTGTGTACCTCGTAAAGATGTACTTTAACATGCGAACGTTACGTCGACGCGCCCCTGCTTCAAATAAAAATAATAATATAAGAAATAATATAATATCTTTTTCCACTAGGATGATTAAAACGTGCTTATATGCTGTCAAAGTATTAAGTTTAGCTTTTCAGTAGTTCAATTTCGCTTAATTTTATCTATTTCAATAGCAGCTCCCCCGTTAAGTGTATCCCTTAAAGGCATCTTAGAGATTTGGTTTGAACATGCGCAACTTTGACAACTTCGTTTACCTTCCATGTGACCGTAGCACGAGGAAGCAAACACTCCCAGTATTATTAAAATAAATGCAAAATGTTTTGCGTGCATGGGTACTGTAAGAGGTTACGTGATAGATTTTTTTTAACAATCCTGCTGTTGTATTTTTTATTTTATTTTTTTTGCGCACGTTGAATACTTTATCCGGAAAAAATATATATCTTTGCAGAAATGACAACAGGAAAACCTATAATAGGAGGAGGCTTTCCTAATAATCAGGAAAACCCAACAAAAGACCTAAACTAGAAGTAGAGTAGCCTACTGCCTGAACCGTAGTCCTCCAAACATCTCAACAAGAAACTGTTGCACTGTTGCAGGTGCTTTGAGTACTTAGAAATATTGACTGAAAATAAACTCTCAGCATGTTCTCCATTTGCTCAAGCTTGAATGTTATATGTTTTAAAACTACAGACCCCGTGAATTTCAGGGAAGGAGTTGTGCCCGTTTTTTGTTTTGTTTTTCTAAATTAAAATTATACATTGTTTGTTTCATTTTTTAAAAGATTTACCATTACATCTCAACCTGAGAGCCTTTTATATATGTATATGTAATATGTTATGTGTAAGAACTGTAAGAATGTTCTGCAAAACAAAGCAAGAAAAGACATCAGGAAAACATTACACAGTGTTCTTTTGTAGTACACGTAACTCTTGTGCCAGGTGGATTAGTCTATATCAAACACAGCTTGTCACCTTTGTCTACTGAGGGGGGTCAAATGGTATTTTTAGTATGTATGATATGTGTGAAGACAAACACCTGTCACATAAAAAGAGATTTAGTTACACGTGTATGACTACCTACAGTGGGGCAAAAAAGTATTTAGTCAGCCACCGATTGTGCAAGTTCCCCCACTTAAAATCATGACAGAGGTCAGTAATTTGCACCAGAGGTACACTTCAACTGTGAGAGACAGAATGTGAAAAAAAAATCCATGAATCCACATGGTAGGATTTGTAA